CATCTTATATATGTAAAATTGATTATAAATAAAAGAGATAGAGGATAGACCTCTCTTTAAAAAAAAAAAAAAATAAAAAAATATTGTTGCATTTTTTAGAATTTATTGCATATCTTTTAAATTATGTATTTTGCTATTAATAATTATAAATTGTTTATTTATACTAACTAATTATTATATGTATCAATAAATGAACATTATTATAATTATTAATTTTATTATATATATCAATATATGAAGAATGTCACAATTACTATGCTTTATTCTTGAAGGCAAAATAATAATTATTAATTTATAGTAACTTGTTATACATAATTAGTTTGATAGTATTAGCTTTAAAATATTTAAATAACATAGATTTACAATTTACAAGAAAAAAATAATAATTAATATTTAATAAAAATAAATACTTTTTTAAATTAAAAATATTTTAAATTTGACTAATAAATTAAAGTAAACTCAAAACAAGGAAATAATTTATTATACATTATATCTAGCAGCAATTTTATTCTCTTTAAATATAATTCAAGTTCAATTAAACAACTACTTCAATTTGTAATATATTAACAAAAATAAAAAACCTTAATGCATGATCTCATATTAATATATACTTTATTAGCCAACTAATCAACAGATCATATTATTATTGCTTGATTAGAAACTTTAGTGTTATTCAAAGAAAAAATATATGAGAATAGGTTCACTATTAAGTCTATTCTACTCTTACAAAGAGGTAATTTGTGCACTTCTTAATAACCAATCTTAAATGAACAACTATTACTGTCTTTACTTCTAAATTTCCTCTTACCCTTAAGAGTATTAATTCATTCAATTTTAAATTTTATGATTAGATGACCTAGGATATTTCAGTAAGCAAATTGAACATGTAAGATTACCTTATTATATTACAAATATAAATTAATTATATAGGCGTGTAAGCATTTAACATAAATAAAGATTAAATTCATTTTAGCATCTTTGTCGATTATTAGAACTAAATTTATATAATTTAAAGGACAAATAGCAACACTAATATTTACGAAACATTACAATTTAGAAAAATTGATATTTATCTAATTCGAACAATATTTAGTAAACATATAAATAAAAAAAAGCCTATTATCAATAATTATGAACAGTAACAAATTTAAAGAAAACTTTGATAATGTATAGTAGATGTATAAAAGAAGTAACAATTGTTAAAATTAATACTCTGACATGAGGTTCAATCGGATTGCGCTTAATAACAACATCCATATTCACAGCAGTAAGTTCCCTAAACATGAATAAATGAGAATATGTGGTTAACAATGTTTAATATTGGTCATAAAGTAATGCAGGATAAATATATTACCGAAGGGCAGCAGCCAGTTGAACAACAGACACCGTCTGACTAAACATGTTAAAAAACGCACCATTAGTAATTTTGATAATACGTATTATCATATAGAATAAAAAATCATATTTATTACATAGGAACAACACCCATCTGGACAACAGACATAACCATACTAAATGAATTGAAAGAGAATGCAAATGAGGAATATAGACAATGTTAATAGCTGCAAACATGCACAGACAAGTAGAGAATATTACGTATGGGCAACAATATCCATATGGGCAGTAAAAAGGAGCGCTCTAAAATCGTCAAAAAAAAACAAAAAGTTAATAATTAATAATAGATGACTTAATGTGTAAGATGTAAAAGTTACCGGAGGACAACTAGAAAATAAAAATATTTAATTGATTAGTTATAAAAATAAAGGATAAAACTCGGTAAAAACGCACAATTCCAAAAATACCTACGTAGCATCTCGTTTTTCTAATAGTTCGTTTTTTAATAGCGGAACTTGCGGGACAGTACCATTTTTTGGCGTTGATACACTCTCAGAAGTGCTCAGTAGTAAGAACATGATTGTGAGCGTTAGCAAGATGATATTAATTGGCTTCATGATTTAGCAAGAGGAAATAAACTGTTTAGGCTTATTGTTTTTTAATTATCTTTTTCGAAACAATTTTGTTATCTTCTGGAAGTCTTTGAAGGTACTTATTTATATTTTTATGCTTATAGTAGAAAAAAATACAGTCAATATACAATCTTATATACAGTTAATTGGTTCATTATTACTAATCTAACAAAGTAGTTATTATTTTCAAAATTGTATTGATCGTTTTTCTACAAGAAACATATTAAATATTACACAAGATTAAATTAGATAATGCACAAATTTACATTAATTAGTTTTAAAAATTATGACAAGAACTATTTTACTCTTAATTCAATATTGCACGTTAAGGAATGAATTTGTCATTCACAATAACATTTTTGTAGAATTTATTTCGGAGAAAAGAAATTTAAAGATAATATTAAAGACTAATAATACTTGTTCTGTGCAAATGTAAATCATTTAGGCATTCTTCTTAATGGACTCATCAAAGAACCTGATTGGTCTATCTGATCAAACTGGCGAATCAGATTCTTTAGCAAGTAAATTGAAAGAAGTGTTTGAGAACGCCCTTAATATTGACAGCATAGATAAACAGCTACGTATAATGTATTTGATGTCTCTAATACTTTTTTAGTTAATTTTTTAACGTTTTAAATACCGATATATCCTAATTTAGACAAAAATGATGTACAAAAGCGATAACGATAATTTCAATACATACAAAAATGGTAATTTCAATGCATACAAGAATGGTCATTTAAATGATACGAAAATACAAAAATGTAATTTAAATGCTTTCTTCAACGTTTAGGATTACATAAATATTATAGTACACTTATTTATTATAGTGCACAAAATCTATTAAAATGCAGGAGATTTCTATCTTAAGACAAATTCTAGTGTAATTCTACGTAAGCGGTTAGAAAACTTTTGCTAATTAGGAAAACTTTATTACTGCAACTGAATCTCCAGTTAAAAAAATATTACCTAAAAAGTAAGCTACATCACTGATAATTTTTACATTGATTTATGAATGTAATTTATACTAGCGCCAGGTGCAAGCCCCGAGTAGAGGTATTGTATTTTAAAAATTAATATGAAACAATTAACTCATATCTAATGATTTAAATCTTTATAAGAAATCACTGCACGGGTACATGGAATTTTAAATACGCGACAACATGAAATTGCACGTAAGTATACACGGAATAGTGCATATCGCGAACTTTTACTACGAAATTACTAGATTAAAAACTATATGAATTAATGTGACTTTACATAATGTTTCACGAATATTTTATGCATTCTACGGACCTTCGGTAACATGTCATGACATTTTTTTAAATATCTTTAATTCCTTCTATATATTTTTCCTTACAATTCGTATGACTATGTGTTTAAATTTGGGTTTATTTTTTAATTTCCGTGCAGTTCTATATAAATTTCCATGTAGAGATTAGCATAGCGGGCTTCCAATCTGATTGGCTAATAGAAACAAAATAAAAAATTTTTAGAAATTATTAAACAAAAGATATATTTAAACAAGAAAATTGAATTTATAATATGAATTTTTAATATATCGATCCTGATAGTCATTGCAAATGTGACTTAATAAAGAAAACAATGTCTTTAAACTTAATTATATATATATAATTTTTATTAACCAAATTCCTTACTAATACATAATTTAATAACATGAAAATAATAAATAGCATAAATGAATTAAAAAAAACCACAACTATCAATAAGTAATACACGCACATGGAGAGTATGAACAATATAAACGAAGGATATGATTTATAGTCGTGTTCGATGGTGTACTCCCAAAACTCTTGTATTTGATTGGTTGTCGTGATCGTGTATCTTTCCATTTTAATCTTTGCGGGGTTTTAGGGTTTGCTCTGAATTGTGCAATTATTTTTCGGTGTACTTGTTTTTTTAATATACAACAAAGCGCAATTAGCGAGTACCATATATGAGTGGCGAAAAGGGAAAACCTGTAAATCATCTCACTCAATGAGTGAAATGATTTACAGGTTTTCCCTTTTCGTCACTCATATATACCAGGAACGAATGTAATGAGCGTATGGATTATATGCTGTTTGAAGTGAGATTTGTCCGCAAAATCCTAACCTTGATTGGTCCGCATGATTTATTCATCAAATTTTGGTTATTTTTTCACACATGAATTCATCACGCATATAGATCAACGGATATACACATTCATTCGGATATGTAATTACAGAGTATAATTTGAATACAAAAAAATGTAAATGTAAGCGATGTCGTAGTTATGATAACTAACAACAGGAGGAACCGTCGATGTTACACGACTGATCTTTCACCCAGTGTGCAACATATAAAAAAAATTATTTTACGATACGAGGTCATTCCGCTAGTACATGTTATTATTATAATCCAGCACCATTTTATTATAATTAAAATGATGCTGGATTATAATCATATTTAACATTTTTTATTTTTTCCTTAGGATTTTTATGATAATCGTTGATCATCAAAATTAATGTGCATGCATTTTTACATAGAATTTTTTTATTTGTTTATTATTCTATATATCAATATATATGCATATACTTGATTTAAATTTTTTTGCTGTTAGTAGTTTTACTTAATATTCCTTATTATAATAAATATATAATCATTATTATGTCATTCTTTAAACAATATTATTATAACATAGGTGTTAATAAACTAATTTGACATTATTTTGAAAAACTTGGACCAGACTTAGATTATAATCAAAGGTGTACTAAATGATGATTATTTAAAATATATTATTTTAACAAAAAATTATATTTCTAGTAATAATCTTTATATATTGTGATACTGGAATATCATGTCTAATTATGTAAAAAATATATAAAATATAATAAGTTATTTTGTAATCAAAAATGATTATCAAATTCAAAGAGATAGATAAAAAGATATAAAGATAAATTATACATTCTTAAAAAAATTAAGTATTATTAAATATATTAGATAAATTATTAGAAATAACATTAAATAGGTTATAAGGAATAATAAGTATAAAATTACATTTCTAAGTGACAAATTTAATATTATAAATAAAGATCAAAATAATTCTTAGAAATAATAATGCTTCAATGCTTAAGTTCTAATAATATATCATTCTTGATAAAATACTAATATAATACTAATATAAACTTTATAAAATTTATAAACTTTGTTATTTATTTAGTTTTTGATTATATGACTTATTTGACTTACTTTTATTGACTTAAAGTAATTAAAAACTTTAATCACTAAGTCAAATTAATATTCTTTTTTAAAAAGATTACTTATTATATGTTATACAAGATTTTGATTGTAGAATAACTAAGTTATAGTTTTTTAATTCAACAATAGATCTTTATGATTTATAAAAAATTGAAAAAAACTTTACTATATTCTATAAAATTCTAGTTAAAACATACAAAATTTTTAAAAAACTCTAATTTTCTTATTACTATATATACTTTATATTAGTTTTTAAAAACTTAATCAAATAACTTGTATTTAAAAAAAATGTTAAAAATTATTATATAAGTATAAAATAGTGCACAAAAGTATAATTTTAAATTTTGATCTAAATTAGGTTTAATTTAGATTATTATTTCATGCTTATATAATAACAATAAATATTATTATTTGAATTATTATTTTTAAATATTAAAAAGTTTAATACTTGTTAGATAATATATAAATTATCTTGCTAATTATAAAATTACTTTAATTTATAAAACTAAAAGTATATTTTATTAATTTCTAAACTATTTTCCTATTCATTAAATTATTTTTAATATATATAAAATAAAAAATATAATTTCAGAATTTTAGTTTATATAAAATATATCTAAATATTGAATAGTATCTTATATTTTTTTAAATAAATATAATTTAGTTAATTGAAAATATAGTTAAAGATAAAATTAATAATTTGAGTTTAATATAAAAAAAGCAGATTTAAAAAATTTATTTTAATATTATTAAGTTTATAAAAGATAGATATTTTATTAAGAATATTTTGTATTGTAGTTAAATTTTTACAATATTAAGTTATATTATTTATATAAGTTAATAAAAAAATAGTAATTAATTAAGAAAAAATATTAGAAATAATACTAAAAACAATTGTACAAATATTTTAAAAAAATAATTTTTGTATTTTTGATTAATAAAAAAAAGAATAGAGTTATAATAAATTTTTTAAAATAGAGAAAAATAAGTTTCTTCTTATTTTATTTCAAAAAGAATTAGTATATAAGACTATAATTAGTAATAATTTTACTAAGATAAAAGATATATAATTTTTTTTATTTATGTTTAAAGCAATAGTTATATGGTTAACAGTTTAACAGTCTAATCTTGACTGCAAGTATTGGTTTTGTCTATAGCATTTATATAGAAAATTACTTTTTGTATATAACAGCTTTATATAACTATTAATTTTTAAATTATCATTAAAGATACAAGCAAGGCCTTATCTTAATATCAAAAAAAATAACAAATTAAATACCTTTATCAAATTCACAACTTGTTCTTTCACTATTTTATTTATACTCTTTATTATTTTTTCTAATTATTATTATAATCATCAGTATTAAAATTATTATTATTATTAGTTTTATTATTATTATTATAGATAAATGAAAATAATACTATTTCTGATCCTCTAATATTATTAAAAAAATATTACAAATTTATTTTTAATACCTCTATAATATACAAATTTTTCTGTTAAAAACATATTATCATTAATTACTTTACATGAATCTTTAAATATATTATTTATATCATTAGTGAATTATAAAAAATGACATTGATGTTTGATTAAATTTTTTATAATGTTCATCTAATTCTATATTAATTAACATAATAAAATTAAAGAGTTTTAATATATTAAAATTAATATTAATATATAAAATTATAAATAATTTTTATTG